GAGAGAGAGAGAGATCAATGGCTCACCAATATGTAATCCAATTTTCTTAAGGCATGCTCGATAAAGAAGCAATAAATGTATTAGCAAAAATTTAATAAAGATCGAATTTTATTTAATATTAAACTTCGATACTTGATATTAAAAGTTTAAGATAATATTAAAGATATGAGAAATAAAAAATATAAAATGGATACATTTTCACATAAATTTAAATGAATTTTACTCTTTAATAAAAACATTCATTTTAAGTTTATTAACAGATTTTTCAAAGATTAAAATAATGGCCTATTTTTGTGAAAATATCAACTTGAAAAATTTATACATTCATTAAGTTCATCGTAGTCACATAAAATTCTGCCTATCGAGATTGCACTATTATTATTGGTTTGTTATCAACACGTTACACTGTCGGGCAAAATAAAATTTGTAAAATATCTGACATTATTCCTATATATATATATATATATATATATACATATATTGTGTGTATATATATATATATATATATATATATATTATTTTGGATTATAGTTACTTGTTTCGTAAATTCTTAACGTTTATTTGCGTTCATCGATTTTTATGATTTTTTTGTTTTTTTACTCGATATAAAAATAAATTGCAATTTATCCCCTTTGTACAGTACGGCCGGAATACATAAAAAGATACATATAAAAAAGTACATGTAAAAGATTAATAGAGATTAGACAATTTACGTATAATAATTACGTGTTAATATATCAATTTTTCTCTTTTTCAATTATATATCAATTAATTATCGCGGGAAATGTCGATGCGATATTAAACTTATTATTTAATAAGATTTCGATAAATATATAAGCAGAGAGATATCGAGATACAGGATAATCCTCGATTCTGAGGTACTCATAATTCGCGTTTCATTATGAATGTCACATACCTCTGTTACCTCTTTATCGATACGGATTACACGTGATTGTTTCAACGCGACAATCTCCGGGGCAGGCGTTCTGAGCTGCGCTCAGGGGGAAACTTTCTTAATTTACGCTCGTCGATATTCCCAAGGCCGATGTATTTTCTCGGCGTGCACACGACGATGCTCACGATGCCGGAAAGTGCTTCTTGGCGAACGCACTCCATTGCCAAGGCTGCTCAAAGGCCGCGTGCACTCGCGCGGCCGCCCCTTTCTGCCGCTATTAAAATAAAAAGATGGGCGACACCCCCTCGGCACGTCGACACCGAGCGAGGGGGGGGGGGCCTCTTCCTTTCGTAAGTTCTTTTTCGCGCGGGAGAAAAAAACAAAGGGCCGTGACCGTGACGGAGATTCGCATTTCTCGCATAGACAAAACTGGAAGGGGAAAGCTTCTCTCCGGAGAAGAGCTTTGTGTTAGCAAATTCGTGAAATATCGTGTAGAAAACGTTTTCGCGTTAAAATTCAGTAAATGTAAATAAGAGCAGCTTTGCGATCTTGATCTCTCGTCATCATTCGCGTCATTGCCACGGCCGCTCGAAGGCACAACTCGGAAGCCGGCTTTTCCGGCACATTTATCCGCCCGGTGAGAAGATCAACGACTCTGACTTTTCAGGCTAAAGTGGAACGTAAGAAGCGTCGCGTGGAAATGATGCTTCTCGTCGTTTATTCGAGTAGAATTTATTACCTCCGAATTATCGTATAAATTACACTGGAACTACTTTGACGCTAGAATTAGATTGTCGCGTTTAACTCTCAAAAACGATTTCTATGCTTTTACGTTAGATGCGTCAAGAGAAATATTCTATAATAAAAATATGAAACTCTCTTTCTCTTTCTCTCGACGACATCTAAAACTGCATAATCCTCTCGGGACGAAAAAAATCTGGTTTGAAGTCTATCATCCGCTATGCTGAAATAGCGGAAAAGTTCGCTTTTCATCCTCTTTCCTATAAACCACGGAAGTCCTCGGGATATTTCCAAGCTTTCCGTAGTTGAAGCAAAGTCCGTGCAATAATTTAAAGGGTCGGATTTTCCCTGCGAGTTGCAACACGCGGTGGAGGAAGAGGAGAGAAATGAACGTCGACTGCTGCTAACAGACAGCTGTGCTCCGCCACTTTTAAAGCCTGGCCCACGTAATCCGGTTACATGCGCATGTGTGTAACCGATGAAAAATAGCCGGGCGACATTGTGCGCATTCCTGAGATACTTCTGAATTTTATCCTCCAATGATGTCTTATCTCTCGGCATCAGTCCGTCCAATGATTAAGTTCATTTCAAATTAACGACGCTACTTTAATCCTACGTACTTTTAATAAATTACACAAATTCTTAAGAAAATTTTGCATAATTTTTCCCCATTTTTATTCTCTCGTAATTATTATTATACTTTTAAAATAGCCTAATCTCAAAAGATTCCATCGAAGAAATAAAATGTTATTGCGACTGATGATGATTTTTCTTTTTTTTATATATTTTCCTTGTATCTTAATCAATACAAAGTTATATAGTTATTATACGACACGAGACGACTACTTTTATGCACTTAAATTTAAATCATATTGTAGAAACGATTCCTATGTATATTTTATAAAAAAAAAAGTCGTATTTTCCATATTATTAATGTCGTCCTTTGATGCTTTTTGCATTATTAACGAGCCGTACTTCTCCATGCAAACGCAAGCTTCAAGTAGACGAGTTCCGTCGCTTTGATATGTTTTATAAGTTGTACGTGTTTCATTCGATTTGTTTTACCCACCGTTAGTCCTTCACACGACTGTCACACAGACAGTTTATTCTTCAATTCTTAACGTGAATACATTTAAGATCTCAGATTATAAAACTTCCAATAAGTAAAAATAATCCGAGAGAATATAATTCACGGTAAATATCATCACATGCCTCTATAGTCGAAAGGATAAGATGCCCGCCCGGCGTAAGCAGGAAATCCAGGTTTCGATTTCTGGCTGGAGGGTGGTACTTTTTCGCAAAATAATTACGAGTTTTCACGACTGGTTCGTGGTTCGTGGGCCCCGCCCGTGACGCACACTCTCCCTTCTTATTTGGGTATTTTTATGTACTGTCCTTACGTATTTCCTTTACTCCCATAAAGAAACGGTAAAGACGAGAGAGTATTAATTTTTACAAAGTATGATGAAAAAAAATTTGCGAATATACATAATTCCATATATTTGTGAAACATAATTCCAACAATTGTATTATTAATTGCGTCATTAAAAACGACGTTAAAAAAAAGACATAAATATTTGAGAATATTTTTACGTGTCGTATAATAACGTATGATAAAACCGAATAATAAACACGTATCCGACGATTACGCGGAGAGCGCGTTTCCAATTAAAAACGCGAGCGAGCGAGCGAGCGAGTCCGATCTATTTGATTCGTTACTGCGTTTGTGCGGAAAAAAAGGGAACGCATCACCGGCATCGGAGTTTCTCGCGACAGTTCACGGCGGGACAAAGTCACACGCTCCCGTCAAGCGCACGTCTCGGTCGCACGAGGGTTAATCGTGCTCGAGAGCTCTCTCTCTCTCTC